ATTTTGCAACCTTCGTAAATGTTGAGTTGTGTTATGTTGGTTGGAACACCTTCTTCTGCAAACAAGATTGGGCAATTCATTACACGTAATGTTTGGAGAGATTTTGGAAATTTGAAGGATATTTCCATATTTCGACATTCAAATATCATAATACTCTGAAGACATGTAAAATTGCATAGGTCTGAAGGTACAGATTTAAGGGTTTCACAACACACAAAAATAATATCTTTGAGACACGTGCTATTTTCAAAAGTCCCTATTATTGACTCTAGCTTTGAACAATGGTCAATATATGGAAAACCCCACTGTGTAGATGATAGCGTTGTGAGCTCTGGGCATGTCTGAATGCTAAATTCTTAGAGTGTGCTAGGCAAACAATCATTTGATGATATGCACTTGAGAGATAGACAACAACTTATCATCAAGTACTCCAAACGAGTATTACTCAAACCCTCCAAATGTTCCAATCGGATACAAAATATTATCTCTAGTCTTTTCAAAGATAACGGCAGTATACCTCCTTCAAAGACTGTTAGAGAACCACAATATTCAATGACAAGCTTTTCTAGATTGTTTTGCTTCAATCCTTCATGTAAAGATTTTAGAGCCTTCCAATTACCAATCGTCAAAGAACTTAGATTGGGAAGAAAATCGATCTCTGGAGACAAAACAAGATTTCTACAGTTTACAAAATACAACTCTTTAAGGGAGGTAAGGCTATGAATACCATGAAGTGGTTTACCTACACAAGTCAAATTTTGCCACGAATTTGCCAGCTCTTCACAACCCACAATCTTTATAACCTTTTGAAATCCTTGCTTTATCCAACTTCCGAACTTTGGAGAACTTGAAATACACATAGAATTTAATGACTGGAATTAAGTAGAAATAGTACTACTACACACCAATTCCTTGCAGTCATTAATTTCTAATTTGCATAGCGATGAACACTTGAGATTGAAGCCGCCAACTCTGCACATTTCTTAATAAAAAGTCTTTCCAATGAAGGAAGATAGTCAGGTAATTCTCCAGTAAGTTTTGGACATTCAACAATGGAAAGCTCTCGAAGAAGAGGGAATGTTTCAACATTCTCATTTTCTCTCTTAGTGTTCCAACATTGCCATTCTTGCAAATTTTGAAAACGAAGAACCTCTAATGACTTGAAATCTATTTTTTCTAGCCTTTTCATCCCTTCAATGGTTAGGTCTTTAAGTGTGCTCAACATCCAGAGTGAAGGAAAACTTCCACAGTGGTTACAATTTTTTAATTTGAGGACTGTCACATTGGAGAGTGATGACAAATCTCCTAACCAAGATGGAAAACATGCACCACCATAGCACTTAATTACAAGCTCTTTCAAATTGTTATGAGGTTTTAGCATCTAAAGAACATGTCTTTCTACTTCCTCATTCGGTGAGCCATCAGATTGAGATCCCCATTCCAACAACAATATTTCTATATCTTTCATATTTTTCAGTACGGGCTCTCTTATTTGGTTTTGATGACTAATGTTCTCTAATTCGGAAATGTGAAGCTCTCCTTGAAGAAATTAATGAATTAAGCATGTAATCATTAGTATAAATTGTTTTAAATAACGGAAAATCAACGCCCTTTTAAACACCTCTTAATTTAACTTTCGACCAAGCTCAAGGACCAACATGTACGGTTTACTTGCCCGCTGCATTCTCTATAGCTTGATCTATAATCTAGAAAACCATCGTAATTTACCATCTAAATGGCCTATTGCCTATACACATAAGCACTATCTTGTGATATATTTGGGTTTGAAAATTTGTTTATTTAACATCTATCATCTATATGCTACAAATTTATTGTCTATAGTTTGTATATCTACTTAATGGCTCCTAGAATCTACCACCAATCGTTTTTACATCTACTGAATGGCTTCTAGAATCTATCATCCACACAAATTTGTACTATCTTTTCTTGTATATGACAGAATTTATCTATCTAAAATCTAACATCTGTCTTTTTGACAATGATATATAAATCTATCTATATGGTTCTAAATGGTTGCCATAATTTATCACTCACATAGATCTAAACATTTTTTTATCATATATTTGACTTATTAGTGGTTGCGAAAATCTATTGGTCTGAAATGTACCTTTTATATGGACAAAATTATTATTTGTCACTTTACATATCTGGTAATAACAAACCTAAGTTGCTAATGTGTCTTGTACTTATTGGACAAGCACGTATATACCCATTTTATTGAAGATTTTCACCAAAAAAAAAAAAAACTAAAAAAAAAAATAAGAAGAAAATAAATTGTTTTCCACATTAAGAATTAGTAAAACAAATGGGTATATATGTGTGAAGATTTATCCAAATAAGAATTAAGAAATTACTTGATTATTTATCCTATTGCTTTTCTACCCTTCTTTTCAACCACCTAACAAAATTTTATCAGCAGCCAAACAACACTTGCACAAAAAAATAGCAGTTATTACACATAACAAACAAAATAAAAAACGAGGGCAAAATAGGGAAGTACTGATTTGCATTTTAATTTCTCCATTAATTGTTGTTGTGTTTCAGTTCCCATTACATAGACCACCTTCAACAACAACAATACATCATCATTTCAAGCCCTACAAATTTCCGCAAAAGACCGCAAAAAAGTATATATTTACAAGAAAAATTAGGGGTGAACAGTTTTGGGTACCATGCGTTTTTTGGGGGAACCGAAACCTGCAGGTTCCTAGGAAAATGAACCAGAACCGGAACCTGAAATGCAGGTTCCAGTTCCTTACCCAGGTACCAAAAAATTAGTTACCCCCTACTAGTTTAAAAAATTACAAACACACCTTAAAATTTTACAAATACACCCCTGACAAACTAAGAAATCCTTAAAATTATAAATGTATATATTATACAAAGTATAGTTATGGAATTAATTTTGGGAATTAAATTTTAGTAAACTTTATTATCCAAAAATACAAATATTATATAATATTATAATGATTAGAGTGAAAATAAAGTTAAATCAACTTTAATTGTGAATTTGTGACAAAAGAATAAAATTAAATATTAATATTAATATGATTTATGAATCTTTAATTAAATAATTAGTATGACTCTAAGTCTCTAACTTTAAGTTTGTTTAATGATTTCTTAATATATTATGACTCATGAGACATGAGTTATCATACTATAATGTACTAATTATTTAATTAAGTAATGTAAAAAATTAAGTAAATTACTAATGTTTATAATTTAATGTTATAATTAATTAAATAATCATATTTTAAATCTATAATGTAATGTTATAATTAATTAAATTTCTAATCATTTAATTAAGTACTAATGTGGTAAATTACTAATGTTTATAATGTAATATTATAATTAATTAACTAATCATGTAACTATAATGTAATGTTATAATTAATTAAATTTATAATCATTTAATAAAGTAATGTATTAATATAGTAAATTATTAATGTTTATAATATAATGCTATAATTAATTCATAATTAGGTAATCATTTAACTAATAAGGTACTAATGTTTATCAATTTATCATATATAATTAATTAATTACTAATTTACTATAGATATACATAGTATTTGATAATTGAAGTAAATAACTAAATATTATTCGATCAAATATATTATTTTATTCAAAATAATTCTTTTAATAACATTAAAACACTTTTAATTGGATCTGAATTCCAATTATAATTTATACACTTAGTTAACCAAAACTTTAATATTATAATATATTAAAGTTTTTTATATGTAAAAATTTTAATATATTAATTTGATTAGGTTATTATAATATATTAAAGTTTTTTATATGATGAAGTATATATGTATAATTAATTGTATATATATTTGATTAGATTATTGTTATTGTTACACTATAATTTTTTATTCATCCCATTTGGCCATTTTAAATTTTTTATATGTAAAATTATAACAACCCCCAATTCTTTATTGATATTTTATTTAAATCCAAGTTCCAATACAGGTTCCTACTCGGGTACCCGGACTTGGTTCCAAGACAGGTTCCATTCAGGGTACCAGAGCGGGCACCCAACAAGGTACTTGTTTCAGGTTCCTATCACAAGTTCCGATTCTAGTTCCTACACATATAGGAAACAAAACCGGACCCGCATAGTTACAGTTCCAAAAATTGGAACCCTAACCTACCCACACAGTGTCGATTCTACGTAAGTTCCGATTTTGGTTCCAATTCTACGCGCTACCTATGTTCACCCCTAAGAAAAATCCCCCAAAATGATCTCGTTTTGTCACCATATATATATATATATATATATATATATGTTGGGATAATATCTTTCATATTAGCTTGACGTTGAAATTAGATTTCGTGAACTATATTTTTATTAGGGAGTAGAAAATGTAACACCCTGAAATTTGAAGTTTTAAACAATCTCATTGAAATTTAATTGGTACTATCCCCAAATCAACTGAATTGAATTTAAAGTTTAAAAACATTTTAAGTGGATGTTTAATTAGTATTCCTGACTTGTTTAAAAAGACAAAATCTAGTTCAATGAATGGACTATCATGGCTATCGGTTGCAAAAACACGGTGTATTGTAACAACCCAATTGCATCCCACATTACTAAGCTAAAGCTTATAAACCAGTTGGGCACCTTTCCTTTTAAATAAAAGAATATACATAAAAGAAGCTTCAATAACTCATACTTCAATCAAGCAAAAAATATTAATTTGTTATCTACCTTTCCAATAATGTCATGGAGAAGTCCTTTATTTCAATTTCCTAGTGAAGGTTTAGCCCCTGTGCTTGTTGAAGAAGAACTAATTCAAAATCTATTTCCATTTCCTGGTGAAGATTCAGTCATGTGCTTGTTTACCAGGAAGTAGTTCAAGATCTATTCCGTATATTTTTTACTTTAGTTTATTGGTCTTAAATTTTTTAACATTATGAATAACAATCATGTTGAACTAACATAAAATAAAACGGGAATCTAAAGGAAAAGCCAATCAATGGAGCAGGGCTTCACTAGCACTTATTTCTAGAGTTTTATCCGTTGTACGTAACCTTGTTGAGGAGATGTAATGGCTGGTATCTTCACATTCTTCATTTATATCATCACTAACGAAGGTGGTCACATCATTAAATGCCCATTCAATCAAGTATCCAGGCTTAGAATTTATTGTACTCACTTCCATATCTCCACAAAGCATAGCAATCACGCGGGACATTGATGGCCTTGAGGAGGGCAATGTTTGTGTACACAAAAGTGCTACTCCTATCAGAACTTTTACTTCTTCCTCACTAAATTCTGACAATTTTGAGTCCACTAGCTCAAGTTGACGATTGTTCTTGTATAGGTGCCAAGCCTGGGAATTAACCAGGAAATATAGAAGTTTGTGATATATGAGTGATTGGATCAAAAGAAGAAGCAGAAATAAAAGTGAAAAGTGTGTATATATATATATATATATATATATCAAATTTGGCCTCGTTTGGTTCTTTCAAATTTGTTTATCAAGTACTAGAAAATAGTATAAGGAGAAAAAAATGGTACTGCGATATCATTCATACCCAATCAAGAAGATACATCTTCTCTTCTTCCAAACTTGAATCTGAGTTTGGCCTCCCACTAACAACCTCTAGAGTCACAACACCAAAGGCAAACACATCAGTCTTCTCCGTTAGATATCCACGCATGGCATACTCCGGTGCAACATATCCACTACATCAATACAATAGAGGAAAAATTCATTTCAATAATCTAATGAATGAAAAAACATAATATTTTAATAAATTTCAAGTGTTAATTAAAAGTCTTACATTGTGCCTGCAACACGAGTGCTTTTGTGGGTCTTCTTATCATCATAAAATTTGGCCAAACCAAAATCTGATATTTTGGGGATAAGATTACTATCAAGCAAAATATTACTGGCTTTCACGTCTCTATGTATAACTCGAATCCTTGATTCCTCATGAAGATAAGCCAGACCTCTTGCTACTCCTAAACAAATATCATAACGCGTTGACCAGTCAAGGTCCAAACTTTCTTTTCCTGCTTCGTAAAAGTCACAAAAGTTTAAACTATTATTGACATGACCAATAATGCTAGGACTCCCAAGAAAAAATTATTACTACATATATGCTATTCGCATACCAAATAATGCTTTATCAAGACTGTTGTTTTCCAGATATTCATAAACAAGGAGTCGTTGTGCTCTCTCACAACAACACCCATGAAGTTTTACTAGGTTACGGTGCTGCACGGCAGATATAGTAGCAATTTCTGCAACAAACTGGCTCTTCCCTTGGTGGGATGCTATAGATAATTGCTTCACAGCAATTACTCTTCCATCTCTGAGTGCTCCCTATCGCGTAAAAAGTTCAACTTGAAATGGTGAGAAAAATCAATTAACAATTGATCAATTTTATATGCTTATTATTGACCAAATACCACATCTTGTCTTTATTTAATGAACCAAAGAGAACAGAACTCAAAGACTGTCTGGCTATTTATTGATATAAAGCCAAAAAGATTGTGTTTTCAAGTTAATCCAGGATAAAAAGTAATGTTGAAACTTGTATTTAGTTCTAGAAAAAATAGTTAATCTTAAGGCACCAAATGTGCTCACCACTAATTTGGTGCTGACTAAAACAATGACTTACCTTATAAACTGGTCCATATCCTCCCTCTCCAAGCTTATTTTCAATACTGAAGTTATCTGTAGCAGTCTTTAGTTCCTCATAACTAAAAGTGTATGGTCTAACATCCATGCTGACAAGTTCTGAAAATTCAACAACAAACGTAGCTTACTATCAGGAACTTGTTTGTCTAATCAAATACCTTAGCGGCATTATCAAGTCAAACATGTGAAATGCTAGAAATAGCAGATGCAATTGTCTTATGGTGGTATTGTAACACAGTTTTGTGCCTGAAGGGTAACCAATTTGGTAAAAAACTAAAATGACAAGAGTTTCATATATTTCAAAAAGATGGCATAGTTTTGCTCCTTTTAATTAACCTAGAATCCAATTCTTATCTTGTAATGCACTTAAGAACTTACTAATGTAACTCTGCTTTACGAATTGAGCAAGCATTAGTAAAATACATTGTTCTTTTTTATATACAATAGCTTTCTTGTACTTGAGCCAAATTTTACTTGATAAGTTATGTAGCTCGCCTTCTTATTCAAACATTTTAAAAGGATTAAGTTAGCATATCGCCGAGATGGTAACCTAAATAAAAGACTAGAACCAGATGTAGATTAACATCAGTATTTTCATAGTTAGTAAATATGATAGATAAGGAGGCAGTAATAGCAAAGATCTTTCGATTTACCATCATCAACAGTTTGTGGCTTTTTTCTCCTTCGCACAACGAAGAAAATTGCAAGTAACAGAAATACAACCCCAGCAACAACAACAATCCCCACAATTAGGCCTTTTTTATTCTTCTCAATGGTTTGACTTGGTCCACTTGGAGGGCTTTTAGTAGGTTTAAAATCTGTATTCAAGCTCAGTAATTGACTCAATATCTTATATAATGCAAGGAAATCAACCAAAAAGTGGAAAAGGGACAAAAAAAGAAGTTGCTATTTATTGAACCTGGGGTAACACTGATGGCCGAAATAGAGGGTCCATATGTGCCATGGTCAGGAGTACAGCAGGTCCCTTTCCCAGCCCAAAACAAGTGGATTTCCATGTAGTTTTTGAATACCTGAGCTGGATATTTTCTTTGAACTGCTCTTCTAAGGACTCCACCTGCTACCCTTGTTATATCAAAGTCTTTTTCAACAAGATTTCCCTGGAATTAACAGATTTAGAAGTTGAAACAAAAACCATGCAATAAAAATTGAAAGGAAAGATATTGGGAACTTATTACATTTAAGGTCATTCATCATGCTTTAACCCCAACCAGGCAAATTTGGCTAAAATAATCTGAATATGTAATAGATACCTGAACATATATATCGAAAACACGCCTCCCAAAACTTTTCCATCCGGTAGTAGTGAAATTTGCTAATTCTACAAACTGGAGAGTTACAGTGTACTTTCCATTTTGAAGGCCTACACCATAGTATCTTAAAGATGAAGCAGAGATTCGAGCTCTTTGGAAAAGTCTCGACTCTTGAGTATTTTTGACTGTAGACGTAGAAATAATGTTATACTGTATATTATTGCTTCCAATAAAGTATCCAACATTACTAACTCCCCATCTATTTGTGTCTGTCAAATAGTATGTAGCTGGACCAAGAGGCTCATTGTCACTCTCATACACAATATCGTGAGATGTAATTGTTGGACCGGCACAATTAATTGCAAAGCTCGAATCTGCATACACAATTTAGCCTCTTATCAAGGTAAATAGTAAGAATATGTATGTCTAAAAGTTTGATTTATATTATCTAGCCACTTATTATTTTACTTTTATTTAATTAGTTGTGATTATATATTTTATATTAATCATTTTTCTTTTTCAACAATGAGAACAAAAAAAGTATTAGAAGGGTATATTAATAAAAAATATATCTTTGTTATGAGTAAATTAAAATTTTGAGGGTGGCTAAGGAAATAATGAAGATAGATAACTATTTTTACAAATTTCCAAACTATCAAAATACATAAATTTCATTGATGATATCATTTTCTCTTCCCAATAATTTTAATTTTTAGATATACTATCTCAAAAAATAAAAAAAATAAAAGCATTAATCGATTAATTAAACAACATGCCTCCTAAAAAGAAATGACATTATTCTATAATTTTTTTTTTTAAATTTTCAGGAATATGTTTTTCTTGCCTTTTTTGAGTTATATTTCTTTCTTTGTTTCTCCATGCATTTTATGGAAGAAAAAGGCATTTTGTATTAGGTGTTTCACTTTTTTTTTTTTTGAGAATATATTAAAAAAAATCTACATAATTTATAATATTAATTCATTTCATTTACTCCAATAATTAATAATTTCTAATTGCTACTGCTACATTTCTCTATGTTATTCATATGTATTTGTTTTACTAAAAAATCATAAATAAAAAAGGCAAAATTAGAATAAATTGCAAATTTTGATTCTAAATTTAATTTACATATGACACTAAAATTTTTAACTTTTGTCTTATTTCATGGAGTAAACAACATGTCTCCACCCAAGATTTCGCGAACTCACGAGGTCCCACCTTGGTTTCAAAAATTTTAGATTCCCACCTTTAAATTACCACAGTTTCATTTCATTTAACAGTTAAAGATAAAAATGGTCATTTACTATAATTTGAAATTAAAAAGTCAATGCCCAGAGAGAAACGTTTCCAGGGAGGTTACGTTTGGTGACTGGACTAATTTCAGATTGGAACTTGAGGATTGGCAAAACCTTGGGTGGGAACATGTCGTTTAGTCTATTTCATGTTTATCTTTTCTTCTTCATGGGAGAGAGGAAAGAAAAAACCCAAAAGTTCAAACATTAGTTGAATCAAAATTCACATGAAAATTAAATAATTCCTCAACTAATTCCCAACACCCCTTATTGCATAATAATAAAAATGATTTTTATTTCCTTTTTGTGGTATTCTGATATTGTATTTATATAGTGATGTTTCAAAGACAAGAACAAACATATAACCCCGCTATGGATAGTCCAAATAGATAGGATGAATTAGGAATAATGTGGATAGACCTACAGTCTTAAGTTCGATTCCACATCTGAATATCCACGATTTAAGTGGTGGGTTGCTACGTTAGTCTCCCCGAGGATTAGTTGACAATGTGACGGCCTCACGAGGATGTAAAATCCATAAAGTGAAGAGTTTGTTACATCCCACATTTTGTTAGCAAATGAATTTACGATTCAATTTATAAGGCTTAGGTCCTTATAACTAAGTAGACGCATTTTGGGTGTTTGACGGTTGTGTGAAACTCGAAAACAAACCCATCCAAACCTACATCCAAATGATTAAATCCAAAGAATAATATCTATTTAGTTTAACCTAATTCAAAACCATGAACGTAGATATATTATGAAAATATATAATCCTTGATGTATTTGACAAACATTGGTGTAGACAGAGCTCCTATGTTTGTTGTGTATGTTGTGGACTGATGGAGGCTATTAGAAGTGTTTTTAATAGAATATTTAAATTTGGGATGACTATTAAAATAGACGTTACTCTAACAAAATTTTAACTCTAAACTTTCAGAATCATGAAATGAAGAAGTTGTACTTACAGATTGGAGAACCTCGATTGCAAGGAAAATTGCGTTGGAGACAGTGCAACCCATACGGGAGAACACTGAAGGAAGGGGAGGAACATAGAAATCATGTTAGACAACGGGAACTAACAACTAAAGAACCCATTTCAACAAGTTATCCATTACTATTCATTTTCAATATTGTTATAGAAAGTCTTAAGGATTTTAACGAAACACTAAACAAGAGAATTACCTGCTGTAATTAGAACTTTCTAGGTTGAAGTTGTTTGCCACTAAGTTACTACACGTTGCACCAATAGCACTCTGATTGTTAGTTTCATCATTGTGTAAATATTATACTAGAAAGTAAAAAATTATATTAGAAAATGTGAAATGGATAGTAAATTATATGTTTAAAAAAATTAAGGACGTACAGTTGTAAATTTTGTTCTTGAATCCAACGAGGAAGGCTACCGGATAGATTATTGTAAGATACATCTCTGCCAGCATCAAGTGAGGAGAATGTTAATTACACAATGCAACTGCTAGTGAGTATAAAATTCAAATATTATTAAAATCACACTGATTTTTCTTTTTCTATAAGCTTTTGGATTTTATTATTATTATTATTTTGTAAGCCCAGTAATTATATTAAAAAAAGAATAAAAAAACAAGGAAGGAGAGGGAACTCTCCTATATGCTTTTACCTTGGACAAGTCCAAGGAGAAGCTAATCAAAATAGGCCGAAGACCAAAAGGATGTGCAATCCTCTACATAAAGGCCCAATAAAAAAACAGGCCTTAGAAAAAAAAACAAAAGCAAAATATCTATACAAGGCCACATAGCCCAAATAAGGACCTCTGCATAACCTAAAGGGTGGCCCATACATCTGCACATCCTGCCATACAACCAGCCCACGTCAAAACTCAAAAGTCCACACAAAAGGCCCATTCTACAACCCCAGCACTAGACCCCCTTAACACCCAAAAACGAGCATAACCAGCCTACCCTCCGTCCTTTGCCCCTTTTAATTTTCAAATTTGCCCAGCCTGCAACATGGTTCTGGAGCCTCATTTCAGCATGTCTCCTCCCCAGACGCACCAGATGAGGAATTCAAAAACGCTCCCCCGGATTAGCTTCTTAGTACTGTTACACCCATAAAAAGCATAAATGACACACCAGACTTCGGCAATACAACTCCCATCTTCTTTCCTAGAAACCTCCCTGTTCCAAGACTGCTCCTTGTCTACAAACTTACGGCAGCATTTATTACCCCAAGGGCAAAGGGAAATATGTCCCCTCAGACTTCGGCTTTGTATACAAAAGTCAGCCCTGGAACCCCACAGGTAACAAGCTTAGCGAGACATGTTAATTCACATGCATTTAGCCAGCAGAAGCAATGCACTTTTGTCAGTATAGATTAATATAAATGCAAATTTAGCCTTTCGCTCGAGTGACTTTTGCTAAAAGCTAGGGTTCCCGGAAAAACTCGTCCTGTAACTATTACCTTTTCAGTTGAAACATTAATTAGTAAAGCATTCCATTTTGGGTATACTGTAATGAGGTTGAGACAAATATGTCAAAAGTATTTACATATTGAGAAGAGTTGTCCCTTTTTCTTCCGGGAGGGTACCATTTAAATTGTTGTTTCCAAGAAACCTGAGTACAAAAGTCATGTTTCAATATAACGAGTAAATTGGGAAGTAAAAGACAGAACAAATCAGAAATGGTAGATTACAAGTAAGTCAGCGAACCCAAATTGAAAAGCGAGCTGGGAATCTGTCCACTGATATTGTTGAAACTCAAATCCCTCACGAAAAAAAAATAGAATTACACAATTATAAGATGAAAACTTGCAAAAAAAAAAAAATAAAAAATGGTAATGGAGGTAAAAATAAAAAGAGAACAAAGAATAGATAACTTACAAGTACTGCAAATTCTGGTAGTCACCAATATTAGATGGAATTGAATCGGAAATTTTGTTATTCCTTAATTCTCTATAGTATATGCAACAAACATTTTGGATCAAAGAAAGAAGACAAAGAAAAACACAAAAAGTATATATGAGGCAATTCAACACATGATATTAGAACTTTGACAATGTTGCCTTACAAGTAAGTTAATGTTTTCATATTCAGTAGAAATGCTAAGGATGAGGAGCTCCCATTGGATAAATCACTTATTCTCCTACATTTTCATTTTTTATAAGACTGTTAGTATTGATTACTGAAAAATTCAAACATAATCAATGAAATATTGTAGGTGAACACTCACAACTCAGTCAGATTAGTTAGACTGGAAAAAGATGATGGTATCGGTCCTTCAAACGAATTTCCTTGAAACCTCCTACAATAACATATGCAAAGGAAATTTTGAACTGTACTAGCATAGCATTCAAAGTAGGAACGTTTAAAGTACCCGAATAGATTTTCCCAATCTCAAACATTAAAATTACAGTATTTGAAACTCAATTCTTAACTAAGAAGCTTGAACCTAAAATAATTCAGGGGTGACTGAGAACAAAATAATGAAAAAAATAAATAGAATAGTTTTCTCACAAGGTATGAAGATTTGACCAATTTCCTATAAAGTCAGGAATTCTTCCTGTAAGTTCCACATCAGAAGCCACCCTGAGCACAATAGAACAATTCGATTAAGATCTAATCCAAGCCATTTTTCATCAGCAGAGTGGATATTTGTATTAAAAGAAAAATTCCCCTTAGCAGATTAACATAATGAAAAGTCCTTACACTTTCTCCAGGTTCTTTAAATTAGCGAAACTCGAAGGAATCTCACCACTCACTCCAGAACTGTCCATAAATCTGACAAAGCAAAGAATATTTATAAATTCCTTACAAATTCAATAACTTGACTCTAATAAAGCCATCATCAAGTAAGTGAATTATGCGACACATGATAGTGTAATCTTGTGTGAAGTAATTGCGAATTTGGTTTATGTTAAAGCTAAGACTAAAGCCAGCTGGGAATTTCACGTTTGGCATTATTGTGCTTAAATAATCAAAATTTTGCATTGAAAATGAAACTGGAAAGTCTATAACAACTTACAATGTCTTTAATTTCGACAAATTACCAAGCTCAGATGGCAGAGAACCAGAGAGTCTCAATGTCCCCATATACAGTTCCTCTAAATTTGATAAATTACCAAGCTCAGGTGGCACAGAACCAGAAAAGTTGTTTGATCCAATACTTCTACATCCCCAAGAATTTAGTTCTTCAGTTATAAAATTGTAATGCAATTACACTAAAGAGTTCATTTAGATAAATATTTATAAGGTTACGAATGGGATAAACTTCAGACTTACAATCCCACTAACTCGGGGAGCATGCCAAGCTCTTTTGGAAGCTGCCCAGAAAATCTATTAAGTGCAAAGTTCCTGATCAAAATGAGAACAAATTAGCATAAAAAAAAGAGTGGGGGAATAGTGTGACTTTCAAAATTAAAATTTCATATCTGCTGCTTACAACTGTTTTATTGCAGTTAGATTGCTGATGGATGAAGAAAGTGGACCTGACAAGAGATTATATCTCAAGTCCCTGTTGGAAACCGGTAAGATTAATATTCAAGACCACCAAATTCAAATTAAAGAGAGTTAACATATTTATACTAAACCATACAGTCTTATGAGGAAATTCAAACTCCATAGCTCATCTGGGATCACACCATCAACTTCCAGTCTGTAAACTCTCCTATAATTTAAGAAATTGTAAAAGTAAGCATCCCTGAAATTAAATAAAGGCTCGAGTTCTCAAAATTCTGTCTTTTTCTACTTACACCTCGATAATGTGGCAAAGAGCATTATTATTGTAAGAACAATCACATTTGATAAATGGGTTGTAACCATCAGTATCAATGGCAATGGAGTCGTCAATTGAGGCTCCACTACATGGATCTCCACTTATATTCCATTGATTTCGATTTGCAGAAATCCCCCATTTTTCATATAATGCATTCAATGCTCTCACTGTTACCAGAAGAAGAAAATAAATAAGCAAGAAAATCATCTTAATAATCAAAATGAATATAGAAATTAGAAGCAGACCTTCATTAGGAGCTGTAGTAGCTTGAGCTTGAGCTTGAGTTTGAGCTACATCAAGTACAAGAAGGTCCAAGAAAATGCAACTGACATACAAGCAAACAATTGCTGAAACTGAAGCGGCTGATTTCATCAATATTATCATTACATGTATAAACCAATATTACTCTTGTTTAATATTGTTTCTTCAAGAAGAATAATAATGGAATATATTATCAATCTTTTAATCTTTTGGCTATTTTTTTTTTCCATAATCAAAAAGCAATTACTTAACTCTATATTTATATATTTAAAATAAATAATTAAATTACGCTTTTTTCACTTTCTTTGAAATAATGAAAAGTTGTTGGAGTCAGCGGTTCAACCCATTTAGGAAGTTATAAGTGGAGTAATATTTTAATATATTATTAATTTCTAGTTTTTTTAATTGCTTTTAGTTGACTCATTTTGGAAGAAGCAATTTGGTCGTTAATGGCGGCTCCACTACATGGCTCTCCACTTATATTCCATTGACTTTGATTTGCAGAAATCCCACATTTTTCAAATATTGCATTCAATGCTGCCACTGTTATCAGAAAAGAAGCAACTAAAAAAATGAGAAGAATGAAGTGAGTGACAGAGTCTGAATGTGAAGCATCTTTCATAATTAAAATAATAAAAAGAAGATAAGTAAAATTTTACTTAGCAGCAGACCTTCATTAGGAGTTGTAGTAGCTTGAGATTGGGTTTGAGCTACATCAAGTACAAGAAGGTGCAAAAAAATGCAACTGACAGACAAGCAAACAATTGCTGAAACTGAAGCGGCTGATTTCATCAACATTGTCGTTACATGTATAAACCAATATTACTCTTGTTTAATACTGTTTCTTCAAGAATAATAATGTGTAATTATCATGACATCAAGTACGGGCCGGGTAGGAAATCCGGGCACAATTGCCATCTTTAAATTTATATTAAGACTTCTTCTTTGTCCCAGTTGAGACTTCACTAGTCAACTTAATAATTTTCTCATTCTTTATGTGGTTTATGATTATTCCACGTTAATCAGTTTCTGGGCAACTAAGCCAGGGAATTAATTTCCAATCTAATTCTACATTTAAATGTAAATTTTTATACACATATAAATATACAAATTGGGTTAATTTGTGCTTTATAATCTTTTTCTATTTTCTAAGACTCAAACTAAAAGTGAACTATTTATCACTATTCTTTTTATTTTAAAAATCGCAAAGAATCCAAGTTTGACGCGTATTATGAATTAAATAAGGAAACTGAATCAGCAAATAATTTGAAAGATCCATATTTTTGATCTGTTTTACACGTTAGAAAAGTAATTTGATAGATGTGATCAAGTCTTACACACTAAAAATGTTGAAAATTTAAAGAAAATAAGGTTTCAACTTTTGTATCAAAATGATTCATAAATAATACAATAAAATCATATTAACAACATTAAAAAATATTTTACATATATTCATTCATTCCCCCCTCTAAGAGGGGCAAGATCCTTGATTGATCTTTATCTTGATTTTATTGAGAATCTCCTCTTTCTTTCTTTGCAATAGTGATCAAGGTATATATTAAAAGTTCAGTGTGAAATTTGAATGAGATAGATAATTTTAAATTCAAACTAATAATTTAAGTTACACAAAATGGAAAGTAGAAAAGAAGATATTTTGACTCTACAAAGTATTTTATCAAAGCAACTATCTTAAATTCATTTTGTATTGTACAAGAAATGAATTTCATTTGTGGATATGCTTCCGGGAACGATATATGATCTACTCAATTCTATTACATGGATCGAGAGCAGTTGAAAAAAAAAAAACCCAAACCCAATACGATATCTCTTGGAATCCTGAACATGATGCTACCACTACCAATAATTGTACCAATTCACACATGTCTCTTTCTCATTAATCGGTACTAGTTGATGAGAAGAAAAAAAAAAAAAAAAAAAAAAGGATACTAGTGGGAATGAAATTAGACCATTTGCACCTAGTTTAACAGGAAATAGAGAGATTTATTGATGTATTTTTTTTTTTATTGGTTATTGGATTTGGATCCGTCAAGATTGATGAGGCTCCAACTCGCTATATATATATATATATATTAATTTGTTAAGATTATGAATATATACCATTGGTTTGAGTTGTAAAATATCATGTCAGGCTAATTTAATAAATCTAATGGTGATTAAGCACAATCCTGATGATATTAACATTAGGACGTCTTGACTAGCTAGAGCATTCTAAATGTGACTTTAATAACTCTTGTGATAATGGTGTATTAATAATGACTTGACATATTTCATATATATAGTAAAATCTCTCTATAGTCATAATAATGGGATCAAACTAATTTATTACTATAATTAGATCATCACTTAATAAAAGTGTAGTTACAAAAATTACTGTTTTAATTTCTTATTTTGTACTTTATGTTTTAGTAATATGTATTAGGATTTCAATTTATTATTTTAGTAGTCATTATTATTACAATTAAATAAGAAGAGAAAATAAATAATCCTGATTATGATAGTATACAAAACTTTTCATAAAAAGCTCTAAATATACTTGAGAAGCTAGAAATATTTTAGCTTTAACAAGAATGTGTTCATGCTTGCGAGTTATTACATACTCAATAGTTAGAAGACGTGATAACAACTCTAAAGCATATATCATAAACTTTAGATAAATATTGTATTTCATCTTAAACCTTTAATGTGTATATATATATAGGCAATATACAAATAATTATTAATATATGGAGACATGCAACTTTTTTAAAACGGGAATTAAAAAAATTATAACGTATTATACTATGAAGTTTATTCTTATTTATAACTATCCTTAATTGGGATTATAAATTTTTATTATTATATAGAGGTTATCCCTATATAAAATATCACTATAAAGTTGTTTTACTGTAATATTATATAAAATGATAAATATACATGAACACAAGTTTGGAATACTTATACACCATTCATATGGTCTATTTTTTGGTTGCGAAAATTGTGGGCAAATTGGAGTCGGGTCTATTATTTGGTTGCGAAAATTATGGGCAAATTGGAGTCAGTCCACCGACTTTGATCTAAAATTTATGTTGTTTCGATGAAAAAGTCAATGTCGTGGAAATTATTGGAAAATTGGAGTCTCGTTAATACCAAACGCCAACTTTTATCTAAATATCTTCTTGTTTCAAATAAAAATAAATGAGTGTCCTAAAAGTTGTTTTCACTAAAAATAATTTACCAGGCTTTAATAAAAATGCATCTTCTCGGTTCCAATTGTCAAGTGTTTATACGAGGTTATGAAAATTAGCAAGTGCTTATAAGTTAAACAAGTGCTTATAAATATTTAAAATTTTAAGCAATTACGTATTTGGTTAAAATACTTATAAGTGATTGATAAGTAGTGGACGTATTTGGTAAAACGTGGTTTATAAGTACATTTTATTATAAAATGACTAAAAAGGGTATTACATTAAACAAGAGTATACTATAAAATTTTAAAATTAAACAAGGACAATGTGATAATATACTTGGTCAAACTAGCTTAGAGCCAAAAAAAAAAAAAAAAAAAAAAAAAAAAAAAAAAAAAAAAAAATCTCCCCCCCAACTTTTTTTTTTTTTTTTTTTTCTTATAAGCTTAAACAAGTTATAAACAAACATGTCAGTTTAATTTTAGAGCTTATAAACTAGTTTGACTAGTTTATGAGTTTAGACAAATACCTCCTTATTCTTTTGATCAAGTGGTTTACAAGTGGCTATTGACTAGTTTATCACTGTTTATGAAAAATCTGTATTAATCAACTATAAACCCTAAACCCTAAAATCTTTGCTGATTTTTAATATATTAAGATTATTATTTGGTTTCCACTTTTTTGAATTTATTTGTTTCCTTTTTAGTTTAGGGAATATTTCTTTAACATAGGATCACGTTATATTTGGCATATAATTATCAAATTAAGGCATAGGATATTACACTTATTTTATTTCTTTATGTGCATGATTATGTGTATATTTTATTACCTAGTATACAAGATTACTATTATTATTGCAAATTTAGAGGTGATCGATTTTGAGTACCCTACATTTTTTGAAGGAATTGGAATTAGTCGGTTCCCGTTCTGATTCCTAGAAATCTAGAACCAGTCGGTTCAAGTTCCTAGAAACCTAGAACCAGATCCTGAAACATAAGTAACAGTTCCGAGTACCTAGGTAAATTTCAATTTCCCCTACTTTTTTGAAAAATTATAATACACCCTAAAAAATTACAAATACACCCCCAATAGTTTACAAAAATTACAAGTTAGTATCAGCTCTTACTAGTGTACTCGAACCTCAGTTCCAGTTCTCGGTTCCAACACTATAGGAATCAGAACTGGACTCAGGAGTTGGGTTCCAATTTTCCAGAACTGGAACAGGACCTAATAAGGCCAGTTTTGGTTCCTACCTAGAACCTACGGTTTTGGTTCTACCCTTTACCCCTGCTCACCCCTAGCGAATATTACATTACCTTGTATAGCTAGAATTACGTTTATATATTGTAACACTTTTTCATTATTCAATACACAACACAATTTTACAATTCTTCTCTTTTACTTTTCTTTGCAATTTAATATGGTATTAGAGCCTAGTTTAAGACAGTGAGTAGCTATTTATATGGTTATATGCATGTCCAGGAAAATTTTGTTAACAAGACGATAAATGTCTAAGGACGCTGGGTTTTAGGTCTGACAGTTTGTGACCCTTCTAATGTTTTTTGGGAATTTTTCTGGTACGTATTGAATCATTTTCAACACTTACAACTATCTGGGCTTATTAAATTTTAACAAGAGGTTATCAATCTCCAATAGCATCTCCATCAACATCTCCCGCAACAACTCCTCCAACATCTCCGGCATAACAAAATCCTAACTTTTCTCTCAATCTCTTTCCAAACATCCTAGCACCAATAGAAATGATTTAGGTATGGATTCTTCAAATCCGTATTTTGTTCGTCATTTATATCATCCGGGACACTCTTTTCTTTCAACCAATGCAACAGAGTCCTCACAAAACACACATGGAGACAACTCTCAAAGCAACAACTCTATCAACTCTTCTCATAGCCTTTCTACTAATCAACTCCAACAAAT